GACTCTGTAAATTCATTGGACCCTATACACTCGAGGGGTTCTAGGTAGTAAACTAAGTTGTCTAGATTGTGTAGAGTGTAGACTGTTTAAAATTTCTAGTTTCTCTAATTTTTATATACTCTGAAGGCTCGCTAGACTCCATAGACCCAAGAGTAAGAGTCAATTATGGGGCGCAGCCTAATTGCAAAATCTATATTTTCTTATACAAATTTTCCATTTTAAACATATTTTAAGTTTCATGTTGTGAAAGGAAGTCTACACATGTTAAAACAAAAAGACAAAATGTAAGCCCGCCCACCCGCCCTATCGCAATTGTGATGATTTTTTTTATTCGCTGTGAACCAAGAGGGAGCTTAACTGCAAAATACTTATATCTTTATAAGATATTAAAAACATGTTTTTGAGTATCGTGTTGTTCAAAGAATATTGTGTATATTAAGAAACCAAGGCAAAATATAAACCCCGCCCACCCACCCAGTCTCAATTGTGATGATTTTTTTATTCTTAGAAACCTAAAACACGTTTAAAATGGTAATTTTTTGTAAGGAAATATGAATTTTCCAATTAGGCTCCGCCCCTAGGAACGAACGAATGAAAACTTAATTACTATTTAGATCAGGGCAGGTGTGGGTGGGGCTTAATCTTTAGCTTTAATTTATGTATATGGTATTCTTTGGGTAACACGATACTCAAAAACATGTTCTTAATTTTTCGTAGAGAAATAACAATTTAGCAGTTAAGCTCCGCCTTCTCGGCTCACGACGAATAAAAAAAATATTCACAATTGAGACAGGGCGGGTGGGCGGGGTTTATACTTTCCCTTTTTTCTTAGTATACGTAGTTGTCTTTTCAGAACAAGAAAGAAACTTAAAACATATTTAAAATGGTGAATTCGTCTAGACAAATATGCATCTTGTAATTAAGCCCCGCCTTTCGATCTGCCTTTTTTTTTCTTAATATTCATAGCCATCTTTTCACAACAAGAAACTTAAAACATGATTAAAATTGTACATTTTTGCAAGGAAATATGGATTTTGTAATTATGGGGCGGAGGAGTAAAATCGATTTTTTCTTATACAAATTTTCCATTTTAAACATATTTCAAGTTTCATGTTCTGAAAAGAAGTCTATGTTAAATTGCCTAAGTTGTTTAGGTTTTCTAAAGTCTCCATATTTTCTAAGATCTTTAGGCTCTAGACTTGCTAGATTTTAGATTTTCCATAGCCTGTAGGTGCTGTAAGCTTTAAATTATCAACATATTCTGTGGTCATTTCAGGCCCTTACTACCCTTGAAGATTTCTAAATTAGTATGTTTTATAGAATTGCTAGATACCCTAGACTATTCTCTGGACTCTATATCATCTAGGGTTTATAGGTGTCTAGATTCTCTAGAGTTCCTAAATCCTCGAGGCGATTTAAATTATCTAGATACTCTGTGGACAGTTCGAACTCCGGTATACATCCCTCGCCCACCCGCTCTTTATTTTCTTAGAGAGTTAATCACCCAGACTCCGCCACTGCTTTTAATTCGAAGTTGCTTACATTTAGTCTGGCGCGGAGTGCGGAAAAATTTGATGAACAGTAAACAATTGCTCCAAAAATACGAATCCATTGACAAAATACAAGGCTCTGCCAGTTGCTATCGAGTTATCCCACTGAAAATATTCCAATCAATATTTCAGCGGACACTTGTGTCAATTCTGAGACGTACACTACACGTGCAATACTCATAATAAAAATATAGTGTAAAAAAAATGGTGACCCATGTTGGATTTTTTAAAAGAAAATTTGCATGCCTACACTAGAAACTCAAAATACGTTCATAAACCACACACGTTTATTAAAAAGGATTTGAAAGGATCAAATTGTTGGTGGGGATAATTAGGCAAATTTTGGTTAGTGTTTTATCGTGTATTAGCCCCATTTGCCAAAATCAGTCTTATTTTAGCAAGTACCGAGCCCACCCACCCACCCATTATTTTCTTAGAGAATACGTCATTTGCCAAATTCAGTCTTACCTTAGCAAGTACTAGCCCCGCCCACCCGCACTTCATTTTCTTAGATGGAATATCATTTGCCAAAATCAATCTTCTCTTATCAGATCCTAGGTCCCCCTATCCACCTTTATTTTCTTAGAGGGTGCGTCATTTGCCAAAATCAGTTTTATCTTGGCAAATAGTAGTCCCGCCCACCGGCCCATGTATATTCTTAACATAGCATATAAAATTTGACAGCGATCAGCCTAGTAGTTCTAATAAAAAACGAGACAAACAGACGGAAACGTGAGGCCTACTTTTTCGTGCTCTAGGGGTCATTCGTCGGATGGACCCTATTACATAGCAGAGAAGACATTTTTAGCTACGGTGTGAATTTTTTGATTAATTTGTGATCTAGTATTCGCTGCCCATTATGTCACCAAATTACGTAGGTCGTCTCTTAGAACATATGAGAGTGAATCAAAACAATCCAGGTGTATTTTGGGACAGAAGCAGAATTTTGGTCTCGAGAAATCCATGCTCGAATCTTGTCCTAAAATTCAGCCGTTGCCTAACTTCTTTACTTAGTATACGTCTACTTTCTGACTTATTTAGTTTCACGTCTGTGTCTATTTACATGGATTTTTAAATTGGAATTGAAAAAAGAATAGCTAAAATGTATGCAGAGTTCACAATAGGTGATGTTATCGGTTTGGACCGGAGTTAAGGTGAGGGATTAAGGCACTCCAGGTACCAATGTAATAAGATGTGACCTTGGACCGGAGCTGATGATTGTCCGATTTGACATGAAATTACGAATTCATCACAAAAATGTACATTGTTAAGAACAAAGTGAATTAAAATTGAATTACTTTATCCGGTATAAATGAACGAGGAACTATATCTTAGTACAGCTATATGATCAAAAAAAGTGATACAATGAATGAAAGATGGCAAAATACGAATATTAAATCCAAACACACTGTAGGTACAGATTTGAACTTTGCCGATCCTAACGCAGTAAATTATCATTTCATATCTTCATTTGTTGAATATGTTGATCACAACAGTGACCTGACAGAACATTACATTAAGTGTTATTATAAAAAAAAATCTGTTCATGTATTCAATAAACAAAGTTTCATCCATCCTAAAATTCCCAATTAAAATTAAACATTCGCCATGTTCACCTATCAAAAATTGTATGTCTCTTCACAGACCTTAATTTTAACCGGCCGGAAATTTATGGCTTTCGAGTTGGACATGAACTAGGCGATGAAATTTTGAACGAAACCGTTTATTTCACAGCAGGAAAAAAATCAACGTCTTTGCCAAGAGTAATGATTCAATTAGACTTTTAAAGATTTATTTTAGCGTTATTTAAATTTTAGTGCTTTCAAGACAGTTGGAATGAGGCCCCACGACATATGTAAATACCTTTTTATCCGACAAGCTTTTAATTCGAGAGCGTTGTACCGAAATTCCGAACGGGATTCCTGTACACCACAATTTTTTTGTAAAAATACACCCATATAAAATCTTATCTTCGTTTTTTATTGCAAGACGCCTCTTCAGACCAAATAAACCCAAAAAGCCCGCCCCGTGACCATTATATTAGCCCATATTAAGTGAAATCTGAGCCAGATCCTATCATAAGCGGCGCTATTTACATATCCCAACAATAACATCCTCCCGTAAGCCTGTTACAAATACAAAAGGTCTTTTTAGTAACGGCCCTGCGAACACAGATAATAATTGTTTGTAATGTGAGCCCACCATAAGAGGGCCATTTTCAGAATACCATTCCCAACTGTCGAGGAATCTCGTCGAAATCGTAGCACACCTTTTACGGCTTACACAAATGGCCAATTTATTCGAGGAACCGCCTCGTACAAATTTGTTCCGGTCGCCAGGTAAAATCCACCTTGGTCTGTCACTTGGTGAAATACGAACTGTGAAATTTGTGTCTTTTGTCATAAGGCAATACGACAAAGAGAAACTTATCGAAATCACGGATCCGATTATGTGTGATTAACATTTTTCGGTGCCATCTACGTGTCAGACAAGCATGTTGATATGTGAGGTAATAATAATGTGTCTTCAGTCAGAGAATACGAAGAAGTTGTACTGTCACGTCAGAGCTAAGGAGAGATAGCCCGCTGAGTGTATAACTGGTTAATTGATTATGTTATGCTCATGTAACATGCAACAGAAGAAACGGTACAAATACAGTTTGTGACGTAGCTTTCATAAATGGGATTTAATAGTTTTGCTATTACGTTCTGTGACTTTATATATTTTATAAGAGACTGGTTCCTGGTTGTATATTACGTCAAACAGAAGAGTTCATTCTATAAATTATCCTTTAGAAATAGTGAGACATGGAAAATTTATTGCCGTGATACATCTTCGTAATAATCATGTTTCCACTTGGTACCAAACAATATTTATAAATGCCTCGAAGAAATTTTAATATCTTATATTACTTCAAAACAACATAAATAACATTGAAATCAACGAAAGCTGAAAAGAAGAGTTATAAAACGTCGTAACTTTGGTAGTAAAACACACCCGGAATGGGCTTTTAATGTCATTCGTTCTACTTATCAAGTCAACTATTTAAATTTTAAGCGATAAGACTGTAAATGATTTTCCATAAAAGCACATCTATTTTTTTATGTTTTATTACATAATTGTGGTTTTGTGGATTTGGGTTACATGTATGACGACTTTATCGCGAGCTTATCAGAGGAAAAGATACCTAAGTGGTTTTACCAGTTTATGTAATTGAATTTTCTACATGGGATAGCGTTTTTGCGACGTGTGCATCTCATGTTTTGCTGTAACTAAGTCGTTTACGTTGAAGAAGTTGTCAAGTTCGCGATTACGTTCCTGCGCGCGCATCCTAGACTCAACCACAGAAAATGTGACTTTTTGGCTCTGAATTGACAGATCCTTCAGTTTTGCATTGTCACTTTTATTCATCTAGAAAGTACAGAAACAAAAACAGAAAGAAAGGGTCACTGATCTCGAGACGTTTACTTTGACGCTCTTGTACATTAAATTTTTCTTTTTTTTTTTTCAATTGGTTATCCACAGAGAGACCTCACATTGCGAGGTTTGTTGCATGCTCCTCCGCAGGTTCGCGATTTGCTCCTAGACTTGGATCTCCTTCTCGATCGGCTTCGTTTCCTCGACTTGCTGCGTTTCCTCGACTTGCTGCGTTTCCTCGACTTGCCGCGTCTGCGACTCCTGCCGCCTCCGCAGCGACCTCCTCCTCGCCGTTTCCTGCTCCTGGACCTTCTCCGCGCCTTCCCTTTCGACCTCCCTCTCGATCGCCGCATCTTCGGGGCGCCGCAGGCCTCCTTGTAGAACTTTCTTCTTTGCTCGTCGCTCATCTTGCACCAGCACTTGGCGCCCTCGACGGCCACTTGGATCATGTTCATGCCGCAGTGCTTCGTGCGGAACCACCGCAGGTAGTTGAAGAAAGGGTTCCTGGTGATTTTTCCCGGTCGGCATGACTTTTTTCTTTTTCCGGACTTGCGCGACTTGGAGCGACGTTTTTTCTCTTTGGCTCTGCCACAGTACTGCGCTCGAGATGGGGGCTTTCTGCACGCCATCAATTTCACCTAATTCATCATCAGAACGATTAAAATATCAAAATTTCACATTTAATTTTGACGGGAACTTTGTTTTTTGTTGATTTACCTTGACAACTGATTGGCCCACTGGGACAAACAGTGTGTGCTACAACTCCTAGAATGCAATGTGTTGATTTTCGCGTTCAATTTTGTATCGTTTGTTCCAGGATTTTGGTGGGAGCTCCGCTGGGGAAAAACAACCAACCCGGGACCAATCGTTCTGGCGCGCTTTTCAAATGCCCGATAACCTCGAAACAGAGGGATTGTACCCAAATCGACACCGACGGCAAAAGATGTACGTATTGGAGGAATTGTGCCCTTTCCACCCACATAGCCTTAAATACAGTCAGTGTTAATGTACAAACACCAGCTATTTAGTCTAGATTGTATCGTCCAGGATGGTTTAAATAGCTCTACTGTGTTAAGTTAGAATCTTGTGTTCGTTTTTTAGTGTAGGAAGTGGATTTTTATGTTTTTTAAATGAAATTTTTGCCCATTTTTGCGGGCTCTAATAATTTGTGTTTTTGTTTTTTGGGGTGCACACCAGCGGCCGGAGGGAGGTATAATTGTAAGTGGTGGTCTCGAACCAAGGTACCAAACTTGGTACCAATTTGGTAATGATGCATGAGTATTTTTGCTAATTTATTTGCATGCCTCTTTTTCTGCATGACTTTGGTGTGGTTTTGCTTCACACTCTGTACATTGCAACCGCTTCACCCTCTCCTAATCCCGTTTAATCACACACTCGGTATAGTTCGCGGTCTGGTTCGACCGATTAACTCAGTTTATGTGGCACTAATCTTTTGAATTATAAACAAATCGATGATTTTGTAAATGCAAGGTCGACGATCGCGTAAAGGGTCAGAATATGGTAACAGAGAGTATCTAACGCTTCGAAACGATGAATTATTAATAACTTGTGCCAGACGGCACAACACTAAAATCTGATTAAAAACGAGCATGGAACTCGATCAATCTCAATCGGAAGACTGCATGGTGGTCGAAGAAATTTAAACTAATTGAATAATTTTTAACCTTTGACAAGGCGGGTACTAATTAGAATTAACGCAGAGGAATTCTGATTCATTTTTGTCGCAGCTATGACGAAAATTCCGTTAGAGATTAGTTTTCCAAAAATAGGATACAAAGGAGGTGCTAAGTCATTCTTTCATTTTCGGTGGTGACTTCACACTTTGTCAGTCAATTTCACGGATCAAGATTAAAGAAGAAACCATCAAAAACATGATTACGAATTCATTCTCGAAAACGTAAATACAGATTATGAATTATGATAACAACAACATGACTGATTCTTCTTCTAAGAATTACGAAACACACCAGTGATTAATATGCAACTGACTCATCAAGAATGTTGCCAAAATTCAACTCCTTTGATACCGACTGTCTACCTCTGTTAGTTATTAGCCTATCTATTCTCTTTATTTATTGTTTTATTTGTTTATTTATTTATTTTTAAGTAGTGTAGATCGGTTGCGGCGGAAATGAATCCGAAACATATTTATTTTACAATGATATTCACCAACCCGATCGCGATGGAGGCGTCAATAACGCTGTAGTCTTTTGGGGTCTTCGGCTTATTTGAATTAATTGAATTAATTAATTAAATTAATTAATTAGAATAACATTATTAATGTAATAACACTCGAGAGACCACCTATCACTTTTTCATGGCGGTTTATCAATTTCAAGTGTGTGTTTCGCATTATCCTCAGCTTTATTTTGTAAAAGATGTAAATAGACGCATTTTGTACAGAACATGAAAAGGGCCAGCTGTCCTTTCACTGTAGTACACGTTTGCCATGAGTTTTGAACTAACTCCACAGGTAATTGTTTGAGTTTGGAGCAGCCGTGTATTGTTGGTTGCATACTTGAAAATAGTGTGAAGATTTGGGTAAAATGGTTGCTACACCGTATTTTCGAACTATAAAAATTCATATCCTTTGTAAAAATTAATTAATTTGGTGCTTTTTTTATACCGCGCGGTTTTTATTTTGACTTACAGTGGGCTGCATTTAACGACGCGATTGGTATTATTGATTCGGAATGTCATTTTCAGCGGTTTTAGTGATACCAACACTAGGTAATAAAAAAATTGTCAAAATAGCTTAGAAGTAACTTTACACCCATAAACTCACCACTCTTACCCAACTCTTCTTCGCACCAAAAGCAATTACCGTAAGACTTGTGCATCACACTAACCCTCGCCCCCATAAATGAGTTCCCATACTTACTATCGCTGTTATCAGTTGACGACGGTTTTGATTACGAAGACACTCCAACACTTAGAGAACCCAACGACTTAGACCCACCAGGACACGACGAAATCAAAGAAAACCAATGGCTGGGGGTCACCGTCAAGTCCCAGAAGCCGGGCGGAAAGGTGGTGGTTTGCGCCCATCGCTACATCCAGAGCGCCAATTTGACCTTGTACCATTACGGAATGGGTTTGTGCTACGTATTGAACAAGACTCTAGAGGCTGAGGGTGTTCTAGAACCGTGCAAGGGGCGACCGACCGAAAAGTAAACACTGATTTTCTAGCATTGGTGGACCTTTTAAAACGTGTATGTGTGTAGGTTGCATCAACAGTATGGTTTCTGTCAGGTCGGGACGAGTTTGGCTTTTCTCAACGACGGGTTTACCTTAATGGGGGCGCCGGGACCGTACACGTGGCGAGGCACGTTTTTCGCTAAGGACGTAGTGGGGAGCTTTTTGCAGAGAGATAATACGGTGTATAGGGGGCCCCTTAATGATAACCCGACTCCGATAAATAAGTATAGTTACTTAGGAATGAGCGTCACAGGGGGGCACTTTTTTGACAGAACTATTATCACGTATGTGTCCGGAGCCCCTCGATCGAACCTAACGGGTCAAGTATTTTTCTTCAATAAAACGGCATCGGTTGAGGAGCTTACTATCACGTTGAATATCAGTGGCACCCAGTTTGGGTCCAGTTTTGGGTATGAAATTTTAGCCGTGGATATAAATCAAGACGGGTATTTATTAAGACATGGTTTAGTTTTTTCTTTACTACTGACGATTTTGCAGCTATGATGAGCTTCTAGTGGCAGCTCCATTTTACTACGAAAGCGAAAACAAAATAGGTGGCGCTGTGTACTACTATTCCGACTTAAGACGGTGTAACATTTACGACGGTTGTAAATATAAGGCCAAATATACTGGTAAAGAAGAATCCAGATTTGGGTTCTCCATGACCTCTCTAGGTGATATAAATAAGGACGGTTTTGTGGACGTCGCAATTGGTGCTCCATACGAAGAGGGGGGTGGTGCTGTTTATATCTATTTAGGACAAAAAGGCGGTTTAAGCCCAGAACCGTCGCAGATAATTAAGCATCGAGGTCATAAGACTATAGGGTATTCAATGAGTGGGGGACTGGACATGGATTTGAATGAATACCCCGATTTGCTCATAGGAGCATACGAATCCGACGAAGTCATTTTGTATAAGACTAGACCCATTATTGATATTTCTATTACTGTAGACGGAAAAGAACTGAACAATATAAACGCGTCGAAAAAGGGCTGCCAGTTTAATCAAACCACAGACAAAACTTGGTAACTTGGTCATTTTTGAGCAAAGTTTACGATAAAAATTCTCATTTTAGCTTCTCGTTCAAGACGTGCTTCACTTTGAGCAAATTCAAGTCGTCTCAACCCGTAGAAATCAAATATGAAATAAAAGAAGCCACAAAGAAGAGTCAGAGAGTTACGTTCCAAAATGACTTAAAATACGTAAACGTCACACCGTCCTCTGAAGCAAACTGTATAGATGAGGTGGCTTATCTTGTCGAAAGCAACGGCGACATTTTGACACCAATATTGGTATTATATGTAATTTAGTCCCAGCTGAAGTACCACAATCCAATTTTAGTTACAAGTCAACTATAACATTCAACAAGACAAGCCAGATTCTCCAATTCTGAATAAAACTTCAGTCAAAACGTTCCAGGCCACATTTCAGAAGAACTGCGGCGACGACGACGTGTGCTACAGCAACTTGACACTGTACGCTGGAACTCGCCTGCCGAGTAAGTCCACCGAGTGTCAAATTCGTTTTTTATCAATTGTTTGTAGTGTCCGAGGATGGCTATATTCTGGACATGGGTAAGAACAAAGAATTTGTGTTAGACGCCAATATCATAAATTCCGACGAGGCTGCATACGAGGCTAAATTATTCGTGAGGCATCCAGAGGGACTCAGTTATGTCGCTCTACAAACTGAGAAGAATAAAGCGGTAAAATAATAAATTAAATTAAAATTGGCGCCAAGAAAATGACGTCAGTTCTATTATTCTTCTACTACTTATTTGTTTTTTTGTGTTTTAGAGTGGTATTGTCTGTACGGCAAACAACGAATCGACGCTGGTCACTTGCAACCTCGGCAACCCCTTCCAAGGAGACAAAAGCGCGAACCTGAGCCTCCGCTTTGAAATCGCAAACACCAAGCAACAAAAACTCGACTTGCAAGTTTTCGTGAATTCGACTTCGACGGAGAGGTCGACGCAAACGTCGCAAAATTTGACGGTGATTTTGCAGAAGATCGCGTCCTACTTGATAAAAGGGGAAAGTAGGCCTCCGAATATTATCTACTCGGGTGATGTGAAGGGTCAAAGTGCTATGAAATACCTGGAAGATATTGGTCCCCGAGTTATCCACAGCTACGATGTCATCAATCAAGGTGACTGGAATATCCGAAATTTGAGGGTGGAAATCCAGTGGCCGTACCAAGTTTACACTGACCGTGAAGAAGGGGGGAAGTGGCTGCTCTACTTAGAAAAAGAACCGAGTATTGATTTCAATACAACGAACCACTGCTCGGTCGAACCGGCGAGTATTGTGAATAAGTTGAAATTGAAAGCGTTGGGAATTGAAGAAGAATCGAATTTGGAAGAAACGCAGAAAGTGGTGGAGCCGCCTACGAATGTGAGGAGGAAAAGAGACGTGGAAGAGACTGTTAGGGCGGAAACTATGGGACCAGAGAAGCGACAAGTTGTTCCTATGGTAGGTTGCCACTATGGAAACAAAGATGGCTAGTCACGCTTGTATTTTACAGGACTGTATCAGGAAAACTGCGCTTTGTGCCAAAATAACGTGCACAATACCTCAACTGAACGAAAATAGTCAAATTAAAATTAATATATTTGCAAGAGTGTGGAATTCGACACTGATTGAAGACTATCGGCAGATAGACTGGGTTAGCATAAATTCCGTAGCCGAGATCATAATCGACGACCCAAGTATTATTATAAACAGAAACAATTCAGTGGGGATCACTTCAGTAAGTACATTTGACAGTGATTCATAATTGCCGCTTTATTGTTAGTGCGGCAGTGTGCGCCTGCGCAGCGGCACTGTGTCCCTCACGCTTGCCAACCCACCGAACGTTGGATTGTGTTGCTAAAAGCACATTTTTTTCAGATTGAGACACGAGGCTACCCGTCCGTGGTTTTGGCCGACACCGGGGTGAACATCTGGATAATAATCGGATCAGTGATCGCCGGCTTATTGTTACTAATTATAGTAATAATAATCCTGTACAAGTGTGGCTTTTTCAAACGAAACCGCGTCAACGACCAAACCCTGTCTGCCAACCTGATGAAACAAGGCGAAAACGAAACCCTGCTAACAGACGCTGACGCAAAACAGACGAAAAAATAAAATGTGATATCGCAACGTGTGAACGCGGGTCGTATCTGTTGCCTTGAACTAAGTGACGTAAATATGCTGCCAAACCTCGAATTGAACTGTTCGATTGTTAACTTAGTTGTTGATATGTACTTAAGTAGCTAAAAGCGGAACCCGGAGCTGTAGGGTTCGCTCGAATTTGATGTGTGATGTCTAAACTTCCAAAAACTTACTAGATTTACATTTAAGACCTTTTGTACATAAATATTTAAATTTTATCGATAGTTGTAGTTGTGTGTTCGGTAATTATTTACGAGTATTTTTTAATAAAGCTGTTTGAAAAAGTTGGGGATTTTGTTTATTTTTGGTTGACTGTGAAGTCACAGAATATCATACAGTAATGACAGCTTTTGAAAGCCCCATAAGAAATACACGTAACGGACCAGGGGTGCTATTCTTGACTTTATGCGTTAAATAGCGCATACGTTATTTAGCGATTAAAATATAGCGAACACTTTACAAAAAATCTATTCTGGAGAATATTCGTTACGCCGTAACGAACATTCGCTGTTTAGCGCAGAGCAAACATTGACAACATTGTAAAAATATTTAAATTTTACCCGTGTCCTAGGAACCACAAGAGGTGACACATAAGAGTGACAATTCAATTTTTTTTAATTATTCGTATCCTGTTTAATAAATGGATAAGCAGAACAATAAAAGAGGAGCAAAATGCTCCGAAAAACAACATACATATACCGTATAATTCATATACTTGAAACTTAAAAAATTTGCATTTTGATGATAATAATTGATAACATACCCTTGCCTAAGTCTATTTAGATCTTCAAAATTATTAGGAAATTTTATATAGCCATTAAATATTTGAGGATCATTTAAGGCACTGGCTACTTCGTTTACACACCGACTAACACTGGGCTGCGACACAGCTAAGTATTTATTGGTACCTATATCCAGCTGCTTCCACTTGCAAAAAATCTTAATGCAGTTAAGACCTAGGAAATTTTTTATAAAAGATATAAGTTTTAGCATTTGATAATAAAGAAATATATTTACCTTTGTTTGAATACTTAAATCGGCAGCGCGTAAGGGAGGTGTAAGAAAAGGTTGCAAAATGTTAATTAAATTAAAAATTGAGTTAATTGTTTTGTTAATCGAAACATGTTATTAAATTGCCTCTCATTAAGCTCCGCAAAAGGATTTCTGGGATTTCTGCGTAGCCTTTTGCCATGCTCAACTTGTCCCTCTAAATTTTGTAGGTGTTCAATTTTTAAAATTTGCACTAACTCGTCCATTTTAAATATTTGTGTTGTATGCCTTTTTCGTATTGAATCTGTAAGCGAAGTTGACAAGCACAGAATACTATTTGATCCGTCACTTCAATACCTATTCGATGCTTAAAGACTAAAAATCTTCGCAAAATAACGTATGCGATTTATAACGAACGGTCAAGAATACAGTGTTTAGTATTCGTCGCTAAACAACGTATACGTTACGATAACGAAGGCTCGAGAATAGCATCCCAGAACAACAATAATCGACCGTTGGGTAAGGACATGACCTTGAATTTTGGCTTGAAACTGTAGTGGCAAACCTTGTTACTAAATAAAATTTACCACCATGTCAACATTGTGCGTCAAATTTGACATTTTAGGTGTTTGGCATTTAATATTGTAACTGTGATTTATTATTTTTACTGAATAGAAAATGCGCGTTCGAACAAATAAATAGAATAAATAATCTTGTGGAAACTGTACACAAGGCACAGGGGTGCCGTATGCTGGTCTGGACACAGTTACGAGGACTGCTTTTATATATCGGCCACATGAAGGTAAAATTGAGTTGGTAGAAAATAGTGAAGCAAATCGTTTTTCTAGGGCTGCAACATAAAAGGTGAATGCTTCATGTAGCATCTTAAGCCCGCCACTCACGTTTCAACGCCGCAGAACAATTGTGTTGGATATGACCAAATTGAAGTGTTTTTAAACGTCTGTGTATGAGATCAAGCAAATCGGTTGGATGTGGACGGTCGGTGAACAAGTCTGTCTGCAGCAGTACAATCGTTTTGAATTGGATGGAAATTTGATCATGTGTGGACATGACTCGACAGTGTATGTTATTCAAACCGTGAGAGCAGCTATAAAAGTACATTTTCGTCATTTTGTCGGACATGTTGTCATCACGATCGCAAATTTTTAACTGCAAGGTCGTAACGTGTGTGTACTGCTGCTTTTTAACAGAATTGTACAACAGTTGCATCCACTACAATCGTACTGGGACGTTGGAACGTGAATGGCCAGCTTTAGGATTACCAAAATGCTGGATCATCATCAAAGGCGTTGAAGTGACAGAGAAGTTTATCATATATGATGACATTACATGCAACGGCAAAATAACTACATGTTTCACAGGTATATTTCCTCAAGCATTTCTTCATTAAGTATCCACAGACATAACTTAAAGAATTTTGTTTCCCCATGTCCAGATGTCTGTAGTCTGTCGTATTTATTTCCACAGATTTATGTGCAAAAGTTGTTCAGCTTAAAACTCTATTAATAATTTGACACTGGTTACTTTCTTTAGATTCAATTGCGAGTAAAATAGATCCTAAATCATTACAACTATTGGAATTTTCACTGTGCTGTAAAAATTGCATACCAAATAGTTTTTTATTGATTATAGAATAATATACTTCTTTATATTTCTTATCTTACAGATTCCAAGGGAAATTTAAAGAAGCCCCTGAAGCAGATTTTTTCATTGTGCCTGCAATCACGAGGTGGTCTACCACTGTAGTCCATGTTACTATGAAAAGGTTCTCAGAATCACTTCACTAATTTAACTTACAACAAAAATTCAACCAAAAACATCAAAATACTTTTCCCAAGGAAGATGAAAACAACAGCGTTCACTTTCTGACTCTTCAAACGGTTCACACTTGGCGAAAATTGAAGGCATTGACAAAATAGGTAGTTGATATGTTTATGTTGAAATTAACTCGGTAAAGTGATAGACTTTTATTTATGAATAAAATAAATATAAGCACAATTCTTTTTTATTGTTCAAAATGGTATTTTTTTCGTAGTCTTCATACCACACTCCAAAAATTGGTTTCAGTTCATTCGATGTTTATATCAGTTCCTTTTACATTGTTTTACGGACGAACTCTATTTGTAATTTAGGCAACCAATATTCCACTTCGTTTCAAAAATCCCGCCTAATCAAAACGGTTGGGTAAGGACACGTTGTTCCAATATTTGACGAGCTGTCTTTACTGTATGATATACTGTGGTGAAGTGTGACAAGTGACAGCTGACGTTTGTGTCATGGTTGCCTAAACAAAACAAGGCGTAAAACACCCGTCTTTTCATTTCGTTCAAAATCTGCAATTATTACTGTAAGTGAGTGAAAAACACCCATAGTTGACCCTTTTCATTGTAAAAATTGTTCTAGTTACAATGAATCAACTAGAGGATAAAGTACTCAACGTTACTCAAGCTATTGAACGTCAGGTGGATGCGGCTATCGAACATATTGAAAATTTGGACATCAACGACCTAGAGACACTCCGCAAGCAACGCATAAACGAACTGAAACAAAAGGAGGCGCAGCGCCACGAATGGCTCTCGAGTGGGCACGGACAGTATGAGGAACTAGCCGAAGAAAAAATGTTCTTTGACGTTATCAAAAAATCCAAGAATTGTGTTATCCACTTCTATACGAATTCGTCACCAAGGTGCGCTATCGTCGACAAACACTTGAAGATTCTAGCACCTAAACACATCGAAACTAGATTCGTTTCATTGAATGCTGAAAAGTGCCCATTTTTGGCACAAAATCTCAAAATTAAAACAATTCCGTCGATCGTGCTAGTTCACGAGAGCGTGATGGTTGATAAAATCGTGGGTTTCACCCAACTTGGTAACCGCGATGATTTCTCAACGGAATTACTCGAGTGGAGGATTGCTCAGAACCGAATTATTGATTATGAGGGCGATTTGTCAACTCCGCCACATTTGCAAGAGAAAAAGAGCAAAAATAGTGGGAAGAAAATTCGTGACAGTGCTTACAATAAAGACGACGACGACTTGGATATTGAAGAGTATGCGCTGGCACGTGATTGTCTGAAAAGTGGAGATGGTTTGAACAAGGTCAATTATCAGTCGACTGATTTGACACCTGAAGAAGCTGCTGAACTAGGACTTGACTAATCTCATTTTTATACAGCCTTATATTAAAATTTATTCATTTGCTTAATAAAAAATTACTTACAAGAAATTAAGCGTACAAAAATTGGGTTCAGGCCTCCAAAGCCACGGGTTCTCGTCGTTTGCTTTTTTCTAGACAACGAAAAATTATTGAAGGAATTAAACTAAAATTGTGGTTATACCTTTAATTGGCGTTTCCGGTACTTCAGGTGTTTCTGGTATGTCTTCACCAGTCTCCATTGGTTCAGGTTCTTGTATGGGAACAGTTGGCAAAGACTGACTAATTATCTCCGCCAATTCATCTTCTACAGCAGCCTCATCTTCTTCAGTTAGTCCACCACTCAGTAAAGCATTAATTTCCTAAATTTGTGTTTAAATTAAACAAGTTTACCAAAACACAAAGTTACCTCTTGTTTTTCCACTCCCTCTCTAGTTTCATCTAAAATCTTTTCAATGTCTTCAATATTTAGAGCCTCATTGATTTTCTTAAGCGCTTCATTGCCTTGCTTAAGCCCATTTACCACCTGTAACTCAACTTGAGCAAACTCAATATCGTGCGTTAGGCGCTCTAAATTGTCCAACTGGTTGTCAGTTTTTTCTAGAATTGATTCCTGGAATCTTTTCTTCCGAAGTAGTAATTTTGCACGTCTAAAAAAAAAACGGGACTAATTCAATCAACAATGACCACCAAACCTACTCTTTTTGTCCTTTTTCTAATAATTTTTTGGCCAGTTCTCTGTGTGACGCCAAAGTTAATTCAATTCTCCTTTGATACTGTTTCAGTTTATCTCGTTGTTGCTTCAATTGCTGAAACCGTCGTATTATCACCACACTAAACAAACTATAAATTTTACCAAAACAGCCTTATCTTGTTGAGTTATCCGAGACGGTGGCTTCTTTTTACCAAAAATAATACCCATGTTTAACGATAATCGCACTATTCACTTTTTGAAACCTCAGAAGCCCATCACAACCCAAAATTACCTGCAGCTAAAAAATTAAATCTTTTTGACTTGTAATCGCAACAAATTTTGACACCTGTCAACGTTGGGGTTATTTCACGAACACAAAATTCTTGGGGGCTTTTTTACCAAACAAACGGTGAAAAATGTGTGTTTTGTAGAAAAAAGTGACAATAATTTCGCCCTTCACCCCCAAAATTCAAAGAAACTCCATCACCCCACGAACACTAATAGTAAATTAGTGTTTTTATAGTGGCACTACGCGGTTGGTAGACTTGTACTAGTCACAAAGCGACCAATCACAAACAGCTGCTTTGACACGTACTACCCACTCCGGCGTTTCATTGGTTACCGAAACCTGACATGTGTTGATAAACTAAGGTTATGTTATCGAGCCCCTTTAAAACAATTGTACACAAATCCCGAAATGGTCGAAGACGTAAACGAAAACACCACTGTGTTCCCCGGTGAGGTCATCAAGGACGTGAAAGCAGTAAAAGGGGTGACAATTCTGGGCCCCGGTTTGAAGCGCAACGAAGACCCTCCTAACACGTTACGAATTACCAGAGCCGGCAAGCTCCAGTTCAAACCCCCCAACATCTACTGGGTGTCCCACAACCACAAGCGCTACATCCCGAAACGTGGCGACTTAGTTGTAGGAATTATAGTCAAAAAGGCAGGCGATTCCCTCAGGATTGACATCGGTAGCGGCGAATACGCGTCCCTTTCGATGCTAGCCTTTGAAGGGGCCACGAAAAAACAAAAACCGGACGTGCAAGTCGGCGACGTGATTTACGGGAAGTTGTTAAATGCGCACAGAGAAATGGAACCGGAGCTGGTTTGCGTGGACTCGTATTTCAAAGCGGGGAAAATGGGGCCGCTGTCGAACGACGGGTTTGTGTTTACTGTGAGTTTGGGACTCGTGCACCGGTTATTGGACCCCGAAAACCCCATTCTGACGGCGCTGGGAAAAGTGTTCCCGTATGAAATCGCGGTCGGGATGAATGGGAAAGTTTGGGTTAATGGGCGCAATACTAAGGAGGTTTTGACTGTTTTGAGGTGTTTGGAGACCGCGGAGTTGCACGATGATAAAGTTATTGTAGAGTTGTGTAGACAGAGCAAATAAAGTTTAATCCCTGATAACGTCAGTTATTTAATCCCGTTAATTAGAGAATCGGTGGACTTTGGAAGCAAATAACTGGAGTGAGGTATTAAAAATTCGGTTAACGGTGTGTGAAAAAAAGTAATTTTGGCTGGTGTCACTCCGACTCCACCTACTGGCATGTGCTGTGGCGATTCGACCAATGGTGGAGGAGTAGAGTGACAGATCAGTCAGGTGGGGCGAGACTGATAACAATTAAAATCACACCGAAGTTCGATAAAATCGCATTCATCGCTAGAATGAGTGATAAGACAAACGGATTTCATCGTGAGTAACGTGGAGTTTTGGTTTTTCGAAAAATTTTTTACGTAACCTTACTTTTTTAGATGTCAAAGATGACGATTTTAAAGACATCCGGATACCCGTTCCTTGGGGGCATATTAGTGGTATGTATTTAGTTTTTAAGTACAATCTTTGACGTCAAAAGTGACATAGCAACTTTTTTCTTAATGTTAAATATTTTATGGTTCAACAATCAGGGTTATGAGGTGTCAAATGTATATATGTAGTTCCAGTCGTTAGTGACACTGGTGAGGTAATAAAACATGGAAATCAGGGTATTATTACAGCACCTACATTAGTAATTATAAAAATCAGTTGATAATTTCTTGATTACTTTAAATATACACATTTTAAGAATCTTTATAACCGCTTAGTGATTCTAAATTTGTCGTCACGATTTTTTCTGGCCATTTTAGACAACTGCGCTCGAACCGCCTAAAGCCGGCCCTGTTTTCATTTAATTAAAGCAGTTCCGTCGATTATACTTTCTACTGCAACACTCTAATTAAAGGGTGTTTGTCTCGGAAATTTATAGTCCAGAAAAAATTACAAACACTTGGAGCGAAAAATTAAAAAAAAATATACAGATTTTGAATTTATATGATTTCATGTAGAGTTTGACAGTTACGATTTTAACTGTCAAATAAAGTGTCAAATAGCGGCAATGCCAACATCTTTATTTTAAAAATAAATTGCACGGCCTACTAGTGGCGAGGTCTTTGTCGAGTTATTAATGACATTATTAGTAACAGTTCGTGACGTCATACGTTATTGTAATGAAGCCTATGCCTCGAACACTCGCTTGACGCTTGACATTGAAATACCTACCTATCTATATTCATTATTGTCTATAATTAAAAAAAAAGTTGGAAATTACTTTCAGTAAAGCAAAATATTATACAATACTGATACGAAATACATTTTGAACTGACGTCATCATCCGGGCGGAAGGGATGATAAATTTTAATCAAGATGTGTCTTGAATTATAAATTTCATTTTGTGACAGCGACAAATTATATCACTAATTTTAATGAAATATGCCTCTGATTTAAGAGTAATTCATCCATAGTGTCTTGATAAAATTATAAAAAATGAAGTTAAAATTTTTAGTACAACACTAAAGTGGGATTTATAAAGTTGCTGTTGACGTTGAAGTTCCCGTTGCTGAAAATTGTCATTTCTATTTATATTCTATTGATATTTCCTTATACAAATTTTCCATTTCAAACATGTTTTAAGTTTCATATTGGGAAAGGAAGGCTACACACATTAAAAAAAAACAGGCAAAATGTTTCCCCACCCACCCACCCTATCTCAATTCTGACGATTTTTTTTTATTCGCCCTAAGCCGAGGGGCGGAGCTTAAGTGCAAAATTCTTATTTCTCTACGAGAAATTAAAAACATGTTTTTAAGTATCGTGTTGTTCAAATGTATATTAAGAAAAATAAAGCCAAATATTAGGCCACATCCATACCCGCCCCGATCTCAATTCTCATCAATTTTAATGAATTTTTCATTCGTTGTTAAATCGAGGGGCGGGGTTAATTAACATTTTGCCTGTTTTGTTTTTAATATGTGTAGACTTCCTTTTCCAATATAAAACTTAAAACATGTTTAAAGTGGAAAATTTGTCTAAGGAAATATCGATTCTGCAGTTAGGCTCCGCCCCACAATTGCAAAATCCATATTACCTTGCAAAATATACCATTTTAAATTATACCATTTTGTTGTGAAAAGATAGCTATGTAGACTAAGAAAAAAAAGGAAGAAATACTAGCCCCGCCCGCCCGCCCTATCTCAATTCTGATGATTTTTTTTTATTCGTCGTAAGCCGAGGGGCGGAGCTTAATTGCAAAATTCTTATTTCTCTGTGAGGAATTAAAAACATGTTTTCAAGTATGGCGTTTTTCAAAGAATACTATGTATATTAAGATACATAGAACCAAAGATTAGGCCCCACCCATGCCCGCGTCGATCTCAATTCTCATCAATTGTGACGACTTTTTCATTCGTTGTTAAATCGAGGGGCGGGGCTTAATTGCAAGATCCATATTTGTCTACAATTTACCATTTTAAACATGTTTTAAGTTTCTTGTTCTGAAAAGACGACTACGCATATTAAGAAAAAAAGGCAAAATATAAGCCCCGCCCACCCGCTCTATCTCAATTGTGATGATTTTTTTTAATCGTCGAGAGCCGAACGAGCGGAATTTAATTGCAAAATCCTTATTATTTCTCTACAACAAATTACCATGTAAGAAATGCTTTTGAGTATTGTGTTATTCAAAATTATGTATATTAAGAAAACATTAAAGCCAAAAATTAAGCCCCACCCATTCCTGCCTTGATCTAAATAGTAATGAATCCACATTTTCTTGCAAAAATTTACCATTTTAAACGTGTTTTAAGTTTTTAAGAATAAAAAAATCATTACAATAGAGGTGGGGTGGATCGGCGGGATTTACATTTTGAATTTTTCTCTTAATATACATAATATTATTTGAACAACACTATACTCAAAAACATGTTTTTAATTTCTTGTAAAGAAATAAGCATTTTGCTGTTAAGCTCCGCCCCTTTGGTTGACAGTAAATAAAAAATATCGTCATAATTGAGATAGGGCGGGTGGGCGGGTTAAAATCTTGCCTGTTTTTTTAATATGTGTGGACTTCCTTTCCCAATATGAAACTTAAAACATGTTTAAAATGGAAAATTTGTATAAGGAAATATCGATTCTGCAGTTAGGCTCCGCCCCACAATTGCAAAATTCATATTTCCTTACAAAATATACCATTTTAAATTATACCATTTTGTTGTGAAAAGATGGCTATGTAGACTAAGAAAAAAAAAGGCAAAATATTAGCCCCGCCCGCCCGCCCTATCTCAATTCTGATGATTTTTTTATTCGTCGTGAGCCAAACGGGCGGAGCTTAACTGCAAAACGTTTTTGAGTATCGTGTTGTTCAAAAAATACTCTCAATACAATACACTCAAACCCGAAAATTGTCATTTATAAACTCCGTTGCCAAGTTAGACATGTTTTAAGTTTCTTGTTGCCGAAATAAGTTTACACATACTGAGAAAAAAAGGCAAAATGTTTGCCCGCCCACCCACCCTATCTCAATTCTGATTATTTTTTTTTATTCGTCGTAAGGCGAGGGGCGGAGCTTAATTGCAAAATTCTTATTTCTCTGTGGGGAATTAAAAACATGGTTTTGAGTATCGTGTTTTTCAAAGAATACTATGTATATTAAGATACATAAAGCCAAAGATTAGGCCCCACCCATGCCCACGTCGATCTCAATTCTCATCAATTGTGACGACTTTTTCATTCGTTGTTAAATCGAGGGGCGGGGCTTAATTGCAAGATCTATATTTGTCTAGAAGAATTTACCATTTTAAACATGTTTTAAGTTTTTTTGTTCTGAAAAGACGACTACGTATATTAAGAAAAAAGGCAAAATATAAGCCCCGCCCACCCGCCCTATCGCAATTGTGATGATTTTTTAAAATTTTTCCAAACTTGGATGTTCCATTTTCTAGGTTTTGCAATTTTTCGACTTGTAATTATGAGATTTGGAATTTTTCGTTACGGTTTTTTGTTTATTTTTTAATTTTTTTGATTTTTCAAGGTTCTGATTTTAGAATTTTTCTTTTTTTCACTGTGAATTTTTTCAATTTTTTAGTGTGAATTTTTGCAACTTTTGGATTTTTCAATTTTTGATTTCCTATTTTTCTGGTTTTCGTTTTAAATGTATAATAATTATTAGAATTTTTAAAATTTTTATACTTTTTTAATTCTACGATTTTAGAATTTTTCCATATTTCAGTTACTGGATTTTAAAACTTTTTCATGTATTCAATTTTAAATTTTTCGATATTTATTTTCAATTTGTCGATCTTTCAATGTTGCGTTTTTACCATTTTGACGATTTTTCAATTTTAGAATTCTTGGGTTTTCAAATTTTTTTATTCTATTCGCTTTTTCTTCTTTCCAATTGTTGATTCTTCAGTTTTTTGATTGTTTCGATTTTGTAATTTTTCATTTCTTCAAATTTTCGATTTGCCATTCTCCGTTTCGGTTGTTTATTTTCTTTATTTTTCAATGTTTCGATTTTATAATTTTGTTTCTTCAGTTTTCTTTTCATTAATTTTTGATTACCAATTTTTCAATTTTTCTTTGTTTTGTTTCTTTAATTTTACTTCGAATTTTCCATTTTAAATTTTTCCGTTTTTTAATTTTCGAACTTTTGGAAGTTCCAATTTTAGAATTTTAAACTTTTCGTTTCTAAAACTTTTAGATTTACTATATATATTAAGAAAAAATTAAAGCCAAAGATTAAGCCCCACCCATACCTGCTCTGATCTAAATAGTAATGAAGTTTTCATTCGTTGGCAGACCTAGGGGCGGAGCCTAATTGCAAAATCCATATTTCCTTAGAAAAATTTACCGTTTTAAACGAAAAAACCTCACAATCGAGGTGGGGTGGGTGGGGGGGGTTTATATTTTGCCTTTGTTTCTTACTGTACAGAGTATTCTTTGAACAATACGATACTCAAAACCATGTTTTTAATTTGTTGTGAAGAAATAAGCATTTTGCAGTTAAGCTGATTCACGGTGGATAAAAAAATCATCACAATTGAGATAGGGCGGGTGGGCGGGCTAACATTTTGCCTTTATGTTTTAATATGTGTAGACTTCTTTTGGCAAGAAAATATCGATTTTGCAATTATGCTCCGCCTGCATGTATTAAGGAAAAAAAGACAAAATATAAACCCCGCCCACCCGCCCTATCTCAATTGTGATGATTTTTTGAGACGATAAGCAAAAAATCTTGCTGATTTAAACGTCGAGAACTATCTTTAACAATGCATAACTACTGACAGAAAGCTACAGTGTAGAAAATGATGCTGTCAACCAGAAAAATATTCCCCCACCGCAATTTGATTGGTTGAAAACCCAACGTCAACGGCAACGTAACGGCGAAAGGTAAAAGTTGGTCATCTCGAACGTCACTCAAACTTTCAACGGCAACGTCAACGGATGTTATAAACGACGCATACTTTCGCTTCGTATTTATTTTAACGTCAATGGCGAACAGCAACGTCAGTTTATAAATCGACCTTTTGTTAGTGCCTCTGGCGGGGACCTGTCTCACCCCTCTCCACCTGTAAGGGTGGGAGTCAGGGCCACCACCACCTTGAAACACAGGGAACATTATTCACTATTCATCATTCACTCTTCAAGCACTCTTCAAGCGGTTAACATACTCTTTATATTCAATATCTGGACCTAACGGTCATAATATCATACTCGCTCTAGAACACACTTGTTATTTATTAATTAAAACTATAAAACGACTGTCCGCTGCTCTTATTCATAATCCATCAAACTTAACATGGTCCTTCGAGCCGGATCAGCGACAGAAAATCAGTAACAGTGATAAGTGATAAGTGTAGTTCGATAAATCATCATCGCTTGGAATTCAACATTCCACCTAAATCATCAAGTATTCAAACATCGGTAACGGCCGCGAGTGCAGTGCAAATCATCGAGGGTCATTCATCAAGAAACTCAGGTAGGCTTTAGTTTTGTCCATTTTGCGTAGTTCATTATTCTCGTACTGACGATGTCGAATAACAAATCTCTCTGGAAATTTATCGTTCTTGTTAACGATGTACATTCACATGCGGAGTTCATCTCGGAAGTTACAAACCACCAAAAAATAGGCGAGTTAAGATGCAGGTTGGAAGATTTGAAACGGGTACAATCTAACGTACAAAATCTTATAGTTGAACATAAATCGGAAATCGTGGTATTTTTAGATGACACGAGTAGCGAAGAATCTAACAAACCCGCAGTTTATAATCTCGGACCCGTGCAAACCTATATCCATGAAATATCGGAATTATATACTGCTCTAATCAAAAAAGCCGATTTGTTGTATCATCTTCCTTTCCCGAATTCGTTTAATGTAAATACTAACAATGCTCATCTCGGTAAACAATGTGAATCCCAAACCAAATATTTGGGTAAATCATTAAAATCAAACACTAATAAGGTACAAGTAAGCAGTAATCAATCAATCCCGTGTTTTATATGTTCCCAAATGCACAACATATTCAATTGTACAAATTTTTTAAGTTTAACGCCCAACGATAGAGTGGAACAAATAAAGAAAATGAATCGTTGCTTCAATTGTTTAAGAAGTAATCATGTCGCGAAAAATTGTTACATATCAAGGCGTTGTAAACAATGTCATAAGAAGCACCACACGCTTTTGCACGCAGAAACAAACAATAACCTTCCCAAAAATGAAATCAAAAATAAACCAGATGAGGATTCCGATAATCCTGAAGACACCTCGAAATGTAATTTAGTTATTCCGTCTAGTGTACTTTTATCCACCGGTTTGATTCGCGTAATGGGCCAATCAGGTAAAGTAAAAGAATGTCGCGTTTTCTTGGACATCGGGAGTCAATCTCAATTCATCACCGAAAATTTGGGCAAGTCTTTGGAATTACATATTCATAGCATCGATACGTCAATCGTAGCAATTCTTGATAAGAAAAAACATTCAGAAAATGCCGAACTTAAAATACAAAATCATATTATGAAAAATCCACCGGCGCTTCAAAATACCGCGCTGGGGTTGATTCTCAATGGCAGTTTTGGGCATTTAAGAAATTCACGTCATCACAAGATTAGTTTGAGCAAAATCATTTCTCATTCCTTGGAAGTTGAAACCGTCAAAACCGGAAGCAGGTTATTAAGCAAAGGTTTTAAAACCTCTCTTTGTGCAACCCCTTTTCAAAATACCACCGGCCATACACCCGATGGTCGTTTCGTAATTAAACTCCTCTTTTCGGAAAAGTTGGGTCGTTCCACAGTCCCTTATTTCGAAAATCCACTTCAATTAAGAAATTCCGGAGAAGGGGTTCTCCAACCGTTATTGTTCGCAGAGGGTCGTAATCATAAACTTACCGAGGGTTTTATTATCTTTCTAAGGAAGTACCTAGACCTTGTACACCTGAAGGTACTTAACGGAAATTCTTTAAATAATCCTAGTTACCTGCCACACAATTGTCTTTACAATCCCTACATTTCTTCCATTAAACGCTGCGAGGTTGTTGACCGTTCAAATCTTAGCTCAAACAATTTAAGCCTAAATGACAACTTATTAACCGGACCCGTTTTTCAACCCGAACTTTTAACTACGTTAATTCATGTCCTCACATGCGACGTATCGAAAATGTACCGGTGCGTTTGGCTTCACTCTCACGACGTCACAAATTTCGTAGGTACTAGGCGCAAGCTAAACGAATTGCTATTAGGGAAAGAATTTCAGAATAAGCTAAAACCAGAAAATACCAAATGGAGTTTAATCCCCCCGCGTGAGCCCAATTTTGGTGGTTTGTGGGTAGCGTGGATTAAATTCGTAAAAACTCACATCCAGCGCGTTATCGGGTACAACCATCTAACGTACGAGATGATGTATGCGCTTTTGGTCAGGATTAAAGCTGTCATGAATTCGCACCCTGTGACGCCGCTTTCCAGCGACGTTACTAATTTAGCCGCACTGACTCCGGGACATTGTCTTGTCGGCCCTCCATTGACAACTCCAGTAGAAAAGAATCACGGCACTTTTCCTGTCAACATCCTTTCCCGTTGGCAATTGAGTGAATCCTGTCGCCAACATTTTTGGAAGCGCTGGTCCGCGGAATATCATACGACGCTGCAGGGGAGATCCAGGTGGAAAACCCCCTCAAGAAACGTTCCCGGCACTGGAGCTCTAGTACTACCGATCAAAGAGGACAACCGGCTTCCCGTTGCAGTGGCGATTCCAACGAATAGTGCAAGTCCATCGCGGCAAAGACGATCTTGTTCGCGTAGTGTTTGTGCAGTGTCGAAATTGCATCATAAAGTGCGCCAATTCGGAAACGGCATTTCCATTTACTAATTCGGGTTCTGGTTATCTACACACTATTGTAAATAAAGTTTGTCCACTCGTATTGTACCTGATAAAGAGTTGTAAATCTCTCTTTCAGGTGTATTCCATATATAATTAATTCATTCTTTTGTATGTGGGCAAGTGTTGTAAATCGCTATTCTTAGTTTATTGCCCATATTGTATAATCACTGTGAATCCATTCTATACAATGTTAATTGTAGTAAATCTTATTCATGTATTCTCATTCGAATTGATCGATATCATGTTATCACTCTAACATTCTATTATTTTGGTATTAAAACAATGTAATTGTTTCAAGGCGGGGGGTATGTTAGTGCCTCTGGCGGGGACCTGTCTCACCCCTCTCCACCTGTAAGGGTGGGAGTCAGGGCCACCACCACCTTGAAACACAGGGAACATTATTCACTACTCATCATTCACTCTTCAAGCACTCTTCAAGCGGTTAACATAGTCTTTATATTCAATCTCTGGACCTAACGGTCATAATATCATACTCGCTCTAGAACACACTTGTTATTTATTAATTAAAACTATAAAACGACTGTCCGCTGCTCTTATTCATAATCCATCAAACTTAACACCTTTAATGACCCAAAATTTTGCGTCTGCGTTTGACATTAAATTATTCTCATTGTTTGTTGATTTTTCAAAAAGATGAATACTTGTTTACGTTTGTCATAATTACAGTGGTTAAAATAACAACGATAAGGTTATTATCAATTTAAATTAGCTGGTTTCGAATGACCATTGTACTTTGACAATCTTGGCATGATTACATCATGGTATATTGTTAATTATTTTCGTTTTAAAGGTAAATGGTGGGGCTCGAGGGTGGTCCAGCCCATTCTAGCCATCCATGGTTGGCAGGACAACGCTGGAACGTTTGACACTTTGGCACCGCTTCTGGCAAACCGAGGCCACTCACTGTTATGCATTGACCTTCCAGGTCACGGTCTCTCGTCGCATTATGCCCAAGGGCACTACTATTATATATTCTGGGACGGTATTCACCTACTCCGGCGCATAGTCAAGCATTTCGAATGGGAGAATGTCACCCTCATGGGGCACTCTCTCGGCGGGGCAATTTCGTTCCTGTACGCCGCTGTCTACCCAGACGAAGTCGAAAAATATATAAGTTTAGATATAGCGAGCCCGAGTGTGAGGTCCCCGGCTAAAATTATAGCGACTATACCAGACGCTGTGGATAAATTTTTGCACTACGAGCATTTGACACCACAGCAGATTCCGTGTTACGAGTACAACGAAATGATAGATATTGTTCATGACGCCTATAAAGGCGGGGTTACACTAGAGGGGTGTAAGATCATGATGAGGAGAGGAATGAAGCCGGTTGAAGATAAGCCAGGGTTTTACGTTTTTTCGAGGGACCCTAGGCTAAAAGTACCTTCGTTAGCGTTTATGACGCAAGAGCAGTCTTTAGATTTTGCATCTAGGATTAAGTGCGAGGTGTTGAATATAAGAGGGGATCCTGGAATGACGTTCGAGTTTCCAGAATTCTATGGAACGGTCCTGGACAAGATTGAGCAGCAAGCGAAGAAGGTTGAACGACACGTGGTTAAAGGTAGCCACCATTTGCATCTGAACAATCCAGAAAGGATTGTTGATATTGTTGATCAGTTTCTTTCGTCGTAGTAGCTAGTAGTAGGAAATTATTGCGATTGTGATACGCTACGTTTATTGATTTATTTATTGTCACATTTGTTTTGTACCAGTAAAACGTCAGTATTTATTGTGAGTAGATGTTTCCGTAATTTTATTGTTGACAAGTTCTATTAAATATTTTCTTATTAAATAAATTACGTTACACAAAAATGGGTACGTTACATTTCCAGGTTGTTACAGGGAGGGAAGGTTCGTCTTGGTAGTGTTTGCAGATGGTTTCCCACTGCATTTCAGTGGGGCTGAAGATGGCCTTCGAACGTAAATTACCTTTAACGGTTTCCAAATCCTTCAAAAGATTTTTGTTTCGTTCTTTGGCTTCTTCAAATGACACGAATTGTCTGTGTTTATCTTCCTCATCAACACTTCTGCTTTCGTCTTTTTTTTCTCTACAAAAATAAATTTATTAAGTAGGGTTTATAATTAAGGTAGACTGACATTTGTTTGAATAAAATGTCCACTTTTTCTTCCTCTTGTCTGTATTTTTGTAAGATTTGTTCTACTTCAGGCAACGGCATTTTGGCGCTATGACTGGTTTGTTGTGAATCGGGCGCGTTGTCATGGTGATACGGCGCAGGGGAATTTAAATTTGTTTTGTTGGTTGCAGAAATTTCATCCGTCATTCTTTTATAAATTTGCAATAGATGGCCATAGTCGAATTCTTCAAAAATAATTATTTAAATCATTCGTAAACTAATTCACCTATTCTGTATTTTATGAGTTCTTATTCAAAATTGTTGGGTGTGGTTGTCATTCTAATGACATTGCTGACGTTAATGGATTGTTATATTGTCAAAGTGAAAAAGTCAAGGATGATTAAATATTTATATCGAAAATTTATGCGCAGTTTCAAACATTGCAAATGTGATTTAAATATCCTTCCTTTTCATATCAGCAGCTGTTTTACCCAGAGACTTTAATATGTATAGACCGGCTATCACCCTAAATTCTAGTGTATTTTCTTGAAGCAGTCGTGTACACAGGAAACGCCGCCATTGCTGGTCCCTTTCTGTCAATTCTGAACAACTTAACCTATAACTGGAACTATCTCCACTCAGCCCAAATGTCCTAGGGAATTGTGAAATAGAGCCAAATGAGTTGGACGACGTTTCAGTAAGAGAAGTTTTAATTCAAACGGAAAACGTTGGACTTACCTCTGAAAATTCATCACTTAATGAGCACTCTACACATGTTGTAGATTATATAGCAGGTTTTTGTGCGAAACAAATTCAAGTCAATTTAGATTGTACAGAGTGTATAGATTTGCTTATTGACAATGATATGTCACATAAAGCGGGGGTAATATTAATTAAAGATGTAAATAATGCTTTAACTGTACCGTCTGAGTTTTTAAAAACTATTTGTAGACATGCAGAAAAAGTAATTAAACAAAACTTCGACTTGGTCAATGCAAAAAAAATCTTAACAAAATTATTCACATTGACATTGAGAAGTATAGGCTTACATTTCTTTCATAAATTTAACCATTTTTTTGACGCGACGGAAATACTTAGATAAAAACATGAGTGAGTCACATTTTAATAAATTAATTATGTGCATTAAAAACAGAACTGATTAGAGGAGAAAATGTTCGGCAAAAATATAATAAATTAATTTTGAAATTGTCCAGATTTTAAATTTGGCGCGATTTTGGGACTAAGCAATATGGCGACTGCCGGCTTCAAGTTTTAGGCCACATAGCCGGTCTATACATATTAAAGTCTCTGGTTTTACCAACAGGTGCAGGAATGCCACTGCATAACAAAAAGTACCTACATTTAGTGATTTAGTGATACCAAACATACTAACAATTTTTATGAAATAATAAATATCTACCAAAAAGTCTCTATAAGCATTGTTGTACAAATTCTTCTAATATTTGTTGTTCGAAGACAGAACTGTTTGTTGTTATTTAATGATCATAATTAATATACCATAGTAAGACCAGTGGATTGTTATCAGGTAAAGTGCAGTGTAAAATACAGTTAATTATATCACAAATGAGTCAGCGGAACCAAGTGTTGCTTAAACTTCGTGCGTACACATTAATAAAAATTTATAAATTTAAATATAAGCAGCGATAACCAAAAACATGTTGTTCCTGCTCTATTTTACACCGTTTACGACTTTAGGCTTATAATATTTTAAAATATTTGTTGCTAAGGGGTTTAACGATGTTAATGTTCACTATACGATAATAATAATAAAATATGGTGTTTTTGAAAAAAAAAATCAGTAAAGATCTATTTAATAATTATATTCACTGACGTCATGCACCACTTGTCGTCTACGGATGAGCGTAACACAACGACGTCTACAGGAAAACCACGCCAAAATTGGCTTTAAATTTGAATTTGGATTGGCTATTTATCTTCACACGTCAAGGCTACTAATTTTGACGTTCATGACCTTCATGCTTCATGTATTTCATTATATGTACATTGATTACGATATATTGACTCCAAATGTGTAAACTTAAAAATACATTCCAAGCGACAATTTTAAATAAAAACTTCCAGTGTTTTGTTGTACTTTATTCTGGTTGTTTTTTTTAGTTCATTTTATTGTCATCCAAAATTGTATCTGTTGTCGTGTATTATTAATGTATTAATAATTGATGTAACGTTGGTAATACTGCATTGTACAGATACGTCACTAGACAAGGTTTAAGTAATATTTATAGGCATCAGTGCAATAAATTCTGTTCAAATACATGTCTAAAAAAAGACATGAACTAGCGTACAGACATAGTTTTAAATTTGTGATATTTGACATAATCGATAAATAAATTGTTTCATATATTATTGTTTACTTGTGTTTAATTGTGCTATATGTATTTGCAAAACTAAATCTTGCTACGTTTATACATATTTACAGAGAAATATAAAACTTTAAAACTGAAATGCCGTTTATTTATTTATTTCTATGTTGAAAAAATATGGCCTGCAAACAAGTGCTACTGAAATTGCTTTGATAGTAACACAAATGTATAAACAATAAGATCAAAATGCAATTCTAGAAGTAGTGTGACACTTTTTCCTTCTATGCCAGTATGTCCACCTTCCCCTACGACATACTTTTTACCAATGAGCGGGAAAAACAAAAAATATATATAAAAGTAACGATCTTTGTAGTTTCGCCTATGCCAAAATTTCCCGTAGTTGTATGCAAAGCGATTAATGACGGTTTCCTTCCTTGCGATAGTTTTCCGTCCCACGCACCACACTTTCAACCAGTGGCGGCGCACACTTTTATCAACTAGAACGGAACTTTAATTATAAAATCAAAATTTTCGCGCTCGTTAAACGCAACCCAGTTGATTAAGCCCGTTTATAGTAATAACTACAAAAAATATCCTAAATATCGCTCACATTATAATAAAACGCCAATTATTGACCCCTTTTGTTAAATTTTTATATAGTTTCCCAACAAACGGCAATAAACTTCCATATAGTTGGCGATAACAGGACAGTAATTTCCATTTTATCGTAAGGATATTGATAAGAATTATCATAAAAATAGTTCAGGTATGTCGAACGCTACCTCTACAACTCTTTTTACATTACTGTTTTATATTCGCGACAGAAAAAGACAGATGACACCTTCTTCGAAATAACGATTCTAAAAAGTGCAATAATATTATTTAAAAAGCGACGACCAAGCCATTTCTAGTCGAGCCGTGGTACGGTTTAGGTGTACGAAAGTGCTGTACAGGTGTCTCTGTCTTACATCCAAGCTAACTTGATCTATGCGAACAACTCTTGGATTGGATGATTTGTTCGTGTGGCTCGAGTTAGATGGGAGAGTCTGGCTGCCGATTGGGACGTTTCGGCGGGAAAAAAAGGTACGCATTTAAAAATTTTTATTACTCCTTAAATACTGTACATACATGGTATAACATATACAATGGCACGTTATTTATAAAAATATAATGAGCATGTTTTTTACATCAACCAATCGACGAACGGAAAGGAAGACTTAAAGTAACGAACGCAAATTTTTCCAAGTAGCACCATTTGCCGAGTCTGCAGAACAACTCAGTTTTAGCAGTAGGCAAGCACGCGGTTAAGATATTTTATTGCATCTTGTTTATTCTAAATAACAATAGTTGATGGTTTTAAATGCATTGTTCCAAGTTTTTTATTTTATTATTTTTTCACACAAACTTCACTCTGAAGGTCATGGGCGACATTCCAGTGGAGGGGTTTTACTTAACGTCATCTATTATTTATAGTTTGCAACTTATGACTCATGCAAATAAATTTACAACTTAATAGTTTTAAATATTTTCGACTATATGGGGTATTTATTTTCGAGGATAGATAGTTTTAAGTGTTCTGTAGACCAAGCGCCTTGGTGAATTCGTCGTCAACTTGGACTTGAAGTAACCTAACTCATCCCATAACTACCCTACAGAATTATTTTACAAACAGTCACAATTTTTACATAACTCCTTGATATGTTTCTTTATACAATTTAAATATTAAGGATACAGTTTTCGTGTAAAGGGTTTAACTATGAACCAAGCATCAGAAAAATGGACGAGTAGACGCGACCTTTTCAAGATCATTTATTAAATATTCAATACACAGATCCACGCTCAGAACAGATTCAATGACTAGACGCAATAAAAACAATTTTTCTTCTGTCAGTCTTTCGTAGACAAACATAAGAAGACACATTAGTAACAAGTGTATTAATACTGATTCTTGTTCTCAATAACCAACAAAATCACTCAATTCACAACATGTTGCCAGGTTCACTCCTAGTCGAGGGGTGATAAACCTGTTTATGAGGGGTAAAACTACTCAAAGATGGCGTTGCGTTCCTCCACGATAAACCCGGAGGACCAACACGTGCGTAAACCGGTTGCGTGGGAGAAACCAGATCTGGCGGGTTCTCATTGGACGATTTGCGATCCTTCTTGGTTCGTCGGAGGGTCTGCGTTGGCGCGAAATACGAATCGGAGTATACTTTGCGGTTGTAGTAGCCACCGTTGGAGGAGGGGTACGGGGGTTCCTCTTCAGGGGAGTGCGCCGACGAGTTTGGCATCCAAACCTAGAAAAAGTTACCACAACTGGGTAAAAAACACCCGAACAGACTGATTTTCGTGCTTACCATTGAGTTACCCATGCGTCTTCCTCCAGTAATTAACGTAGTAGTAGCATAAGGAGCCGGTGAGGTGGGTCCACCGTTGGGTACAACCATACTGGCGTCCACTTCCGCATAATCGGCAATCTGCGAAGTCCTAGTTGAGTCCAAATTCGGGCTTGCGTATTCTTGGACTTGCATGTCGTTATAGTCCTTAAATTTGCGTGCACCGATTGGGTAGCTCTTCTCGGATCCGTAGTCCAGATGGTCGGGTCTGGTATACTCTTTCTGGTGTAACGGGTTCGGGTGCAGGTTTATGCTTCCGCCGCGTTCCGGCTGCGCCGTCAGTTTTGAATATTCTGGAAGAGTCGCTGAATAATCTGGAAGCGTGTCCTTGTCTAGCCAAAGCGGAGTTTCTGTTTTGGAAGCTAAAGGTGTGGTTAAAACGCCACCGTTCGAGCGACTAGGGGTCATGGTTTTCTTGGTTAACATTTGTCGCCGCCGCACTAGCAACATAGCACCGAAGAGAAGTACCATCACTGATACCATACTGATTAAAAGCGCCATGAACCAAGTCTCGGTGATGAAATCCCCGGATTGCATATCGATAGGTCTTTGTTGGTGGTGGTCGTTGATTCTGGATGCTGGGTCCAGTCTTATGGTGGCAGCCGTAAAAGGTCCTATTCCCGCTCGCGTGGTTGCTGCCACCCTCACATTGTAACTCACTCCAGCCGTTAAGTTCCCGAGTAAAAGATTGGGGTTATTTCCAACACTAATCGTGTCAGTTATATTAGTACCATTGACTTTAACTTCAACTCTGAAGCCGGATAGCTCTCCATTCAGAACATCAGAAGGTGGGGGTTTCCATTTTAAGTAAACAGCCGTCGAGTTTAAAAGTAGGGCTTCCATATCGGTGGGGGCTTCCATAGGCACGTCTTCTAGAGTTCGGACAGTTTTCGAATTGGAAGGTTGTCCTTCGACAGTCTTGTAAAAAGGCACAAGGAAGAATTCATATCTTGACCATTTGTTTAGGTTATTGACAGGAAAACTTGAGGCTCCTCCTGATTGGAGGACAGTGAACATGCTGTAGGGTTTAGGCAGACCTGGGGGACTATCAAGAGTGATGCAATAAATGTACAAGCCTTCGACATATTGAGCATCCAGGATTTCCCATCCGAGTTTAATCGTAGTCGAGAGAATGGGAATCGCTTCAGTCAGTTTGACGACGTTCCCGGAGATTAAATTAGCTCTGGCTTCGCTTAACTCGGTCACTTCTGGATTCCCCCAGTTTTGAGCGGTATCCGGCCCGACTATAATAATATCGGAGAGTTTTGAAGGGGGTCCTAACCCGTGGCCGTTTTCTGCACGTACCAGAAACGTGTACGGGACTGCGGGTGTCAAAAGGTGTTGGGTGAACGTAGGACCGGGGACTCTCCTGGCGACCACGGTCCACGTCGGGGTTACACCTTCCTCGCGCCCGAACAACTCAATCTGGTAACCTAGTAAACTCGAGGACCCGATTTTGTTGTTTTGGCCCCAGGTGATGGTGACGCTTCCTTCCGACTGGTTGAGAGCATGCGGCCGACTCGGAGGACCAGGAAGCATTATGGCTTCCGGTGCTTTGAAGAAGTTTATGTTGGGGTTTTTAGGGTTCTCGACCAGGAGGTGCCCACTCCACGTGGCTTTCCCGCTACGTGACGACGCCACACACGTGTACACCCCAGAGTCGTCTTTCGCCAAGTGGTAGATCTCCACCAGTCCGGGGTTTGACGCATTTATCCTATCCGACGACGTCACAGGAAGACTTTCTTTGTACCAGGAGATCACCGGAGTCGGGTTACCTATCGCTTCACACGATAGTACCGCGACGGAATTAATCGGGAGAGTCTGGTTAACCGGTCCCCGGATTATAACAGGCGGAGGTCGCTCCTCTTTCGACGTGACGGTGAGCCGGGTCCTCGTGGACGCAGACCCCACGGCGTTCACCGCTGAGCAGATGATCACAGTCCCGGAGTTTTGAGGTTGCGCGTTTTTGAGGGTTAGGGTTGAGCGGCCGTCTGCGGTTGTGAAGACTTGGTAGTTGCCTGAGGCGGTTCCGGGGTAGATTAAGGTGCGATCTCCCTCGAAGGACCAGAAGATGAAGGGTTTAGGGCTGCCTTCCACGTTGCAGTGGAAAGACACGTCGCGCCCGGACTCTATAGTTTGGGCTAGGGGGCGATTTATGAACGTGGGTAGAGCGTGGACTGTTAGGACTGCCGTAGCGCTGATAACCCCGGCGAAATTGTCGGCTTCGCAGGTGTATAGACCTTGGTCTAGGAGGGTGATGCCGTCCAGACGAAGGGTGCGGTCTTCCAGGACATGGACTCGCCCTAGGGGCATGGTTCCTCCCGCTGAGGTCCTGCGCCAGAGGACGTCGGGGAGAGGGTCGCCGCCTACCGCGCACGCGAAGTCGACCGTAGACCCGACTAAAGCGACGGTGTCTTCTGGAGCTTTCACCAAATACGGCTTAACTATGAACAAAAAAAAAAAATACACAAAAATAGGTATAGATCTTTGTGGGGAATGGTGATACGTACTTAAAACTTTAAGAACAGCGACTGTCGACTCCCGGATCCCTGCGGTGTTCTTGGCCACGCACTGGTACCTCCCGTCGTCTGCCGGTTTGGCTTCGGTGATGGCGAGGTTCGAGCCGTCGACGAGTTTGAGCCGGCCTTCCACGACTAGTTCTTTTCCGTCCTTTTTCCATTGGACTTGGGGCTCGGGGGTTCCTTTGGGTGGGACGCATTCCATAACGACGGCTTCTCCAGCCGCTACGCGGGCGCTTTGGGGCTCTAAGCGGAATTCGTCGCGTAAAACTGCAACAATAAATCGGTCAACTGTGAGAGAGCAAATAAAAATTAATGGACTGGGGATGGCGGACTGGAATTTAAAGGCAATTTTGTGGGTGGGGGACGTACAGGAAATTGCACGGTTCCAATGAATTGACTGATATATCAATCAACAGTTTTCATTTCCCCTTTTGATGGTCTTATATTCGAGGACCGGATCCGGGATAATTGAAGATTTGACACGGGGGGGTTTAAAACTGGCTGCGGAAGGAGGGTTTGTGTGGAAATGTGGAAATATGGATAGTATTGATCGAAATTACAATAGATTTGGTAACTAATACTAAGTTAAAAAAAATTCAAAAATACTGTAGCAATTTCCCTTCCAACAATGTTCCGATCAAACTTTTCGACTTTTGCAGTTGGCAATTAAACCCGAATTAGATTCTCGCATTTAATGAACAATATCCTCTTCCATTAGAATGTTTACCGAAACCGGAGCCAATCCTGGCCGAAACGAAATAAAACAAAATGTTATTAGTGCTCTGACATGATTCCTCCCATTAGCATCGATTTTGATTAAAATTTGCGCGTTAATTGAATTGTTCCTTGATATCCTGTAATAGCGCAGCAGGATTGCCAATTAGCCCAAAAATGAAACGAGAAAATTAAAACCGTGAAAAAACACCCCCAGAAGACGTCACGTGGAATTTACGCCGTCTACCCCACCCCGTCAAGCTAAACGCACAAGTTTGCTTTTATCGTAAGACATGCTTTATGGAAATTGTGCTTTTGGGATTTTACATGTGTCTATATTTTGCATAAATACTGATAACGCAAGGAAGTTTGTGGGGGGTGGGAAGACTTGGATGTATGCCCTGCGGCAAGTGACGTGACTCGCCCCTTTCACATGCATGTATCAATATGTAACCCACAACACAATATTATTAGGGTAATATGCATACAGAGTCTGATGACCATATCAATCAAAGCCAGGATACAGACAGGACCTAATATTGATGCTATTGGCAGGATAAGTGAGTTTTACTATACAGACGGGCCGTAAGTAATTGGATTTTGACGCATACATTAATCCCGAATAGAGGGATAAGCGCATTAATATAAAAGTTTGTGGGTCGTGATTGTTTTGGCCGAATTTCAAATCCAGACCCTCTGAAAGATCTAAATGTATTGTGAACAGCTTTCGGATGGGTGCCAGACCAGTTTTATTATACTTAATATATAAAATTAAGACCTACTTTTTCAAATTCTAGGACTACAGACAGCTATTCGTTCAAAATTAAAACGCAGACACATAAAAACGCAAAGTTTGACTTCCTCAGCCCCGCTTCGAATAAACGTGCATATTTTAATACTCGGGCTCTATCTTCATTCCGTATCCACAGGCGGCGCCGAGTGCAAGGCACAAGGGTAGATAAATAAAGGACAACTCTTGTTCCGGCTTTATTATCCCGGCTCATGCAATGGAGAATATTAATACCGTCGTGATTGTCTTTTTGAAGCCCCCGCGAATCCATCCGATTCAAAAATTTTATTGTCACCGGCAATTTGAATTGCTGAAAGCAAATATATGACACCTCCCCGACCGGAACACAATATAAATGCAAAGTAAACGTACTTGTTGGAAAAAACTGAAATTAAACTCTACGGTCCAATCAATCGCGATCGGGAGGAAACGCCACCCCTGAGTGCTTTTGTTCAAAATTTATTCATGTTAGTGGAGAGACAAGATATTCCAATCAATTGATTTAAGTGCGTTTTCGTGATTCGACCAATGTAATTGTCGGTAACGGCAACTAGATCAATAAAACTCATCTGCGGGAGGAATTTATTTTCGGAGAATTTCATTAATCCCTTTTGCCACTCTTTGATTGCGAGATAACACAATTACAAAAGGCCAAATCGCACGGGGTAGCGTGGACGAGGATGGGAAAAAGAAGCGGAAGTGTGAACGGGGTTGGTGTCTAAAATTTTTACTGACGTCATTCTATGGCGAGTTAAGGGTCAATAGTGTAGATTTATAGTAGTAACATCTCATGGTTTCAGTATAGTTCAGTCTATTGGTTTGGCTATGCGAGATGTCGTATTAACAGATTAAGTTATTCAGGTCAAGTCAAGACAGGTCAAGTTAGGTAGGATCCGATCAGACCAGCTCAGGTCAGGTCAAGTCAGGTCAATTGGTGTTGAAAGAAAACTTATACTTACCTACTGATGGTATTTGTACGTGTAATAGTCGAATTTTTTAGAAATATAAACATAAATAGTCGAAGTTAAGTGTTTACTGAGAATACATTTTTTCCCATTGGTTAGCAGCTTTAAATACATTTCATATATTTGTTCGTTTGCAACTATCTACATACGCAGAATAACGTTTCATGAAACACAATTATAGTGTTTAACTTTTAAATGAAACGCCCTGTATATTTGAAAATAACTGAATGGTTTTTATCAGATTGCGTTAAGTATTTTTTTATATTGCTCTTTCAGCAGTATAAACTAAAATTATTTTCAACTGTTTTTGATGCATAGCTTAGCAGTCGATTTTTCTTTAATGGAATTGTCCATATACATATTTCTAAAAGTTCTTTCAATTTTCATGAAATTTTTTAACTCTTCAAAGACTCACAAGCAAAATTCGGGGCTGGGTTATTTTTATTTTTAAAATAGTATTCTGTGTTGTACGGCATTTTATTCTTGTTATTCTCTTTAGATTTTAGAGTGTTTAAAGTATTGGAAAATTTTTGATGTCATGTTCTGCTTTTATTTTTTTTGCCAAAGTTTTTACCTTGTTTTTTAAACTTAAGAGAATAATATAAAAATGATGTCATGTTCTGCTTTTATTTTTTTTGCCAAAGTTTTTACCTTGTTTTTTAAACTTAAGAGAATAATATAAAGAATCCAAAAAATCTAAAGGATTCAAAGTATCCAAGGAAACCAAAAAATCCAAAGAATCGACAAAATGCAAAAAATACAAAGAATCCAGACATTACACTAAGTTAAAAAAAAATCTAAAAGATCTAGAAAATATAGAAAATCCAAAAACTGTAAAAAGATTCGAAAAAAATCTAAAAAAATTGAAAAATCCAAAAAATCCACAAAATCCAGAAAACAAACAATCTAAAAAAAACCAAAGTATCCCAAAGTTCCAAAGACACAAGAGACTCCATTCAACACAAAAAATTAAAAAAATCCCAAAACTCCAAAAGATTAAAAAAAACCGAAAAAGATCGAAAAAATCCAATAATCCAAAGAATTCAAAGAATCCAAAGGATCCAAAGTATCCAAAGTATCTCAAGAATCCAAAGACTCCAAAGAATACAATGAATCAAAAAAATCGAAACTATCCAAGGAAACCAAGAAATCCAAAGAACCCAGAAAATGCAAAAAATACAAAGAATCCAGACATTACAAGAAGTTCAAAAAAATCCAAAAAATCTAGAAAATCCAGTAAAATTCAAAAACTGTAAAAAGATTCGAAAAAATCTAAAAAAATTCAAAAAATCCAAAGAATCCAAAGATTCCAGACAATATAAAAAATTTAAAAATCCGAAAAATCCAGAAAATCCAGAAAACAAAGAAAATAAAAAAAAATCCAAAGAATCCAAAAGATCCAAAGACTCGAAAGACTCCATCCAACACAAAAAATTAAACAAATCCAAAAAATCCAAAAACTCCAAAAACTTCGAAAAAACCCAAAAAATTGAAAAAATCCAATAATCCAAAGAATTCAAAGACTCCAAAGAATCCAAAAAATCCAAAGAATTCAAAAAATGCATAAATCCAAAAAAAGCAGACATTACAAGTTCAAACAAATCCAAAAAATTTAGAAAATCCAGAAAATCAAAAAACTCCAAAGAATTAAAACAATCCAAAGAATCCAAAAAATTCAAACAATCCAAAGAATCTAAAAGATCCAAAGGATCCAAAGATCTAAACTCAAAAGACTTCAAAGAATCCAGACAATAGAAAAAATTTAAAAAATCCAGAAAATCCAAAAACTCCAAAAGATTGGAAGAAACTTAAAATGATCGAAAAAATCCAATAATCCAAATAATCCAACAACTCCAAAAATTAAAAGAATCCAAAGAATCCAGAAAATGTAAATAATTAAAAATTCCAAATAAATCCAGAAAAATCTAGAGAATCCAAAAAATACAAACAAAATCCAAACAATCCAAAAAATATAAAAAATTAAGAAAAAAACAAAAATCTAGAACATCCAGAAAATTCAAAAACTCCAGAAGATACGAAAAAAATTGAAAAATATCGAAAAAATCTAAAGATTCCAAAGAATCCAAAAAATACAAGGAATCCAAAAAATCCAAAGACTTCAAAAATGCAAAAAATCTAGAAAGTCCAGAAAATCGAAAAACAGTAAAAGATTCGAAAAAAATCGCAAAAAATTGAAAAAAATTGAAAAAAAACAAAGGCTTCAAAGGACTTCAAAGAATCTACAGAATCCAAAGAATTCAGACAACACAAAAAATTTAAAAAATGCAGAAAATCCAAAAACCCCAAAAGATTCGAAAAAAACCCAAAAAGATCGAAACAAATCCAATACTCCAAAGACTCCAAATAAATCTAGAAAATCCAGAAAATCCAAAAAGTGGAAAAATTCCAAAGAATCAAAGATTGCAGGCAATACAAGAAATTAAAAAAAAAAAACAAAAATCTAGCAAATCCAGAAGATCCAAAAACTCCAAAAAATACAAAAAAAAAAATGAAAAAACCTAAAGATTCCAAAGAATCCGAAGTATCCAAAGTATCCCATGAATCCATTGGATTCAGAAAATGTAAAAAAATAAAATAATTTAAATAAATCTAGAAAATCCAGAAAATCCATAAAATAGAAACATTCCAAAGAATCGAAAGAATCCAGACAATACAAGAAATTAAAAAAAAAATCTAGAAAATCCAGAAAATCCAAAAACTCCAAAAAGATACGAAAAAAATCGAAAAACATCGAAAAAGATTCCAAAGGCTCCAAAGAATCTAAAGTGTCTAGAAAA